AAACAAAAAAATTAACATATTGATAAGACTTCTGTATAAAATAATAGTAAATGTTAAAATAGGAACTAGTTGAAGAGAGACAAATCCAATACAAACATTAGAACCAGAAACAAAAAATGTATTACATAATTGGTCAAGTTTTTGGAAAAAAATGAATAGAACAAAAGGAGTTCATTGTATATTAAGAAAACTCAACACAAGAAGAGTTACAGCAATTAAGTGCATAATGAATAGACTACCAACATTTAAGAAGCTAAACAGAAGAAGATCAGAAGTATACACAACAGTAGAATGTCAAGTATATTAAGTTAAAGAAAAAGAGACTTAGGAAGTTGTAGTAAACAAAAGAGTTTGTAGAAGTAAATTCAAAAAGTCATAACAACAAAGCATGAAATAGATTTAAGAAAAAGAAAAAAAATAGAATTTCATCACAAATTCTTCATAAGACATTGTTTGAAGAAATAAAAGTTGAAGAAATTGTAAACAGAAAAGTATTGATAAAAGAACTAACAATACTAAAAGTAGAAAAAAGATTGAAGTGACTTCTAAGCAAGCAAGCAACATAGAAGTACATAGATATAGTTACAAGAACAGTATAAAACACCTTTTATGACTAAGTATAAAGGATATAATATGAAAAAATACAAGCTTGAAAGAAGAAAATTAATATAATGAATAAAATGAAAAAAGATGCTTGTGTGAAAGAGAAAACAAAAAAGAGAAAAAAGAAAGATAAACAAGTAAAAAAAGAAAAAAAAAGAAAAAAAAGCAAAAAAGACAGACCAAATGAAAAAAAAACTTTAAAGACAATAAATATGCTTGTTACAAAAGGAGAAAGACCTTTCTGATATAGCTTTAAGTAATTAGATAAATAGTTTATCCTTAACTAGAATAGTGTGACAGGTTGCACTTAGGTGCTGGTAGAGTAGCCGAGTAATGCTAGATTTAGATGTTGAAAAATTCTATGTAATTGTATAGGTATATAGTTTCAAAAATCTTAATAAAATACTAGCATAACTGCTTAAGGTTAAAAAAAAATATATATCAATATAACTTTATATCAGATTACAACTAAAGCATCTTAGGTAACCAATCAGTAGGTTATGCACCTTACCTAATGAACTGCATTTGAGATGCATCAGCTGCAATTTGAAGCAAGAATTAGTTTAAAGCACAACATATATATTATTGTATTATTTTTTAAACAGTTAATTTGACCATGTATCTACTACAATTTAAACTACAATTCAATATAATTTAATAACTTAATTACAGATCAATCATGAAATTTTCAGGTAAATTTGTCAGAAAAACAGTTTAAGAAATAATTATTAATGACATGTCAGTCTTTTAATTATGAAACATTGTAAATAAACTTTAGAATCAAGGTTATTTTTAACTTTATTATTAACTATTAGCTAAATTTTATACAAAAAATTTTCAAATACTCAAGAATAAGTATCTAAAGTTTTTAACGTTAACTTTTATATTAAACTTTGAAGGAATTAAAAAAATAAAAAAAATTTCGTAAAATTTATATATAAAATTTAGGTTAAATCAATAAGTAAGCTCTCCGCCTGACTGTTATGTCGATCATTGACGATTGTAACCAATAAAATCGCAAGATGTATAACTTAAAAATTTATTAAGAAAACAGAAAAACTGAAATAACAATATTTTATTATTATAACCACAGTTCGATTCTAAATAAAAGTTTTGTAAGTATATTTAAATATCAAACATCAAATAAATTAAATATACACTTTTGATTCGATGATCGACATAACCTGTCACAGATTTTATACGTGCATATTTATCATCACATGATCCAATATCGGTGTTATTGGGATGCCCAATTTTACGAGATTACAGAATGCCAGTATGGTGAAGAGATCCGTATGGTATAGGCCAAAATTAAAAGGAAGTAAAAGTCATACCATACTGATCAGCTATAATTCCTAACCCTAACACTAATATATACAAACCAGATCAGTATGGTATAGGTTCTAAAATTCGGCCTATACCATACTGATCTGCGAAATACCTCAATTTTACTATCAGAGTACTGAAAATTTATTAATCATACAATACTCGATAAGTGAATAATTAGTACAGCCAATCAGGAAATCCACAATTATGAACATGATTTACAAGTCGGGATTGTTGTGCTTACGTAATAACGTCAAAAAATAACTAGAATTAACTAGAATTTCAGAATTTAATCAGAATGTTATTATCAACCAATCAAATTAATCAACGAATACCTTTTACTATATTATTAACAACATCTTACTTACGCTTTGCTAATTATAAAATTTAAATAATAACACCATACGAGTGATTCATTAAATATACCTCATGAAAGATCATCACAGGGTGCACCAATCAATTTTTTTCAAATGATCAGGATCACTAGATCAGGTATAACATGAAAATCGCAATTTTTTTTAAAAAAAAACCGTCAATAACTCCAAATTTTGACTATGAAACCACCTTCTGCGCTCTAATAAAAAAAATTTCTTGTAAAATTTTGATATATATTATGCCTTATCCCAATCTTTATCCCAACACTGATATGAGGTTTTGGAACTTAAAAAAATCTTGCGCATATTAAAATTGATTTGATTCTCTGAAGAATTCGAAGAAATCTAATTGGTGCATATTTGTCGATCTTCCATGGTCTTACTTTGCAGCTGATTCATTAGTATCTTCGATCTATATCATTATACAATTATTTTTCCTTTATAAGTATTTGAATGTTAACATTGTTAGTAATTTATTTAATACTTCGTGATTGATTTTTTTTTAAATAAATGTCGCGAACGATGCTGAAATTTGGGGTCTCAAATTTTTTATTTTTTATTTTTTTCACCTCCCTTCGCTATCCTGAAGGTCCTTAGACACCTTTAGGATCTGTCACATCTCTTAAAGGCCAGAGTTATCGAAAGTCCTTATGTCAAGGAAATTCCGAGCTGCCGGCCAAAAAAATATGGGTAGTAATATCTCAAAAATTCACTATATATCTAACATTAACAATTGTGTATTATAAGTAAATTTCATTCTGAAAACTTTTACTTAGAGGTCGGCAGTTAGTTATCATAGTAAATTTTTGTGTTATTTACGTTTTTTTTACAATTTCTTATGTTTTTCACGTTTGGTTTGTTACACACGATCCTGTGATTTTATTGGATCCGGATAGGGTCGGAAGTGAACTTCAGCGATCTTCAGCCCGGGATTTCCTTGACATAAGGGCACCCAAAGTTATCACTCTGCAAAGATCCTCGGACGGCGTGTGGCCCCTATATGTCACCGAGCTCGTGATAATTCATGCTTCGTCAAGTCCGCCACATGACGTCCCGGGTCCCTGGGGGGTCTCAATTTGAAAATATAAGCCCTACTAAAATTCACCTGTACTCTTTTATTAATAATTCTGATCCTAAATTCTAACGAAAATTTTAAAAATCGTACATAAAATAGATCCAAATTTCAGCATCATTCGATTTAAGCATCATCTGTGACAATAAATATAAAAATTAGAACTCTAGCATTACCAATCTAAAAATTTCTCTACTAGTGTTATTCTAGTGTTTTATTAAAGAAGTACCTTCGCGCAAATTTGATAAATAGCAAAATTAATAGCAATCATGGATAATTTATCACTAAAAACTGCAATATAAGCATCTTGCGCAAGTCGCGTGATATGTGAGATATATGCTAGGTTTATCTTTCGCGAGGCATATCTCTAGTCTGATTTTATTTTTCGATGACCATTTAATAATGATTAACGTTAAAAATTGAAGATATTTTTTGGTGTTGTTAATTACAGATTAAGATGTGTTCATACGTAATTTGGACAGATATGACCGATCATTCGAGTAGTAGTAGACTTACACCACATGGTTATAACCTGGTCATAAACTTAACCGGAACTACAGGATTATGAGATTAAATTTACTATATAAGACCTATTGATATGCAGTGTGCGCAGTGTTACAAAACAAAGTTTAGCAAAGTTCAGGCAAAGTTCAGGAATTGCTTAATTACAATCTATATTTGGTTCGAGTAACATCACATGTTTATGTAAGAAAACCCAACATATTCTTATCCCATGGATAATGGAAAGAACTTTTTGTTTCAGAGAAGTTAGCATAATAATAACCTATTTTTAAAAAGTCGTTATTATTTATGCTAACTTCTCTAAAACAAAAAGGGTTTTTGATTATTTTCAATAGTGGAGTCCTACAACTCCAATGAAACTTCTTATAAATAATAATAATATAAATAATGTTAAATTTCAATAGATTTAAACAGCCAATCATATGAAAGTCTTCCTATGACGGATAATGTATAAAAAGGATTGAAAATGCTCTTCGTAAGTACGTACTTGCGTACCTGTGTACAAAAAAGTAAACATTTAGTAACTCATCACGCACGAAGCTGCACAAACATAACAAATATTATTTCGTTCGATAGACGAAGTAGTTAGTGTATAATTGTAATAATTGTATTCTCTATCGATTCATATATTTTGTGACCGTTGTGAACCCAAACCTTTTGGTTATTGCCATTATTATAACATTCTTCTGTAGTTTAAAATTTAACAAAAGCCTATTCTTTCTTTTACGGAGGTAAAAATAAATCCGGGAATTTCTTCTTTCATTTTTTTCCCATTATTCGTCCTCCAGCTCTTTCCTTTCATAGCAATTAACCATATTATTTATGCATAATTGATATTCATAAGCTATTTTTGATTTGGGTATATGTTTTCGCTTCGCCTGATTAATGTTCTTATTTATTTGGGACTTTTCCACTTTAGTCAGTGCGGTCGATTCCTATCGAACACTTACTTCCCTTCACATAACCGTCCGTCATTTATTGACTAATTAATAGCCAAGTTGGAACCTTGGTTTCGCCTTCCTTCATCTTTTCCACCGTGACGACTCTAAAGCTAGTTCTTTTCGGGTATAAAATTTCGGAGACAAAAAGGAAGTGTATACAATATGACTTTTGACCTTGGATTAATTGTTGGGAATCCCTTTTATCTTGCCACTTTAGGCTTGGCAGCAGTACGATAATCCTTTCATACAAGTTAAGTCTTTCGTTAAGCATATGCGTCTCTAATTTTATGCTTGTGATTTTAGGTTGGCTGGATCGTAGAATTCGCCGGTGCTGCCGCCTCTCAAATTAAGGGTGTTCTTTGGTTCTATATAATTTATGAATTGTTTCTTATAACTGGTATTGTCGTAGCCATTGGTACCAATGCCTTAAGTTACTATCGCTCTTCTGTATCCTTTTAATTAAAGCGGACCTGGAATTTTTATAATCCGTAAATAGATTAGAGTATATGTGTAAATTATGATACATAAAATACTTCTTTTATATTGTATTATATTATTGATCATAATTACTGATTTCTATAAACATACGTCCTTAACTTTAATATTGATTTATCAATATAGATTGTAACTTTTTTGGGTATTAGTATAATTTTTCATATCCCAATAATTGACAATTTCATCGGATTATCTTTTTCTGCATTTCAAGCTTTCGCTGCTGGTGCTCTTTTTGTTACTATTGTTTCGGTAATTTATACTTCTCTTTTATCATACGAATTATTATTATTATTTAAATATCCTAACAGAATTTTCTAGTTTGTTTGGGTGATTGCTTTCGGAGCAGAAGATGGCTCCCTGGTTGGAGACACCATAAGCTCATGGTCCATTAATAAACCTGCTAATCCGAGAAATGTACATCCGGATGTTGGTTTTCCTCCAGGTGTTCAACTAAACCCTGGACAAATACAGATGACAACTATGCAAGATCAAGTAGTTGTATCTCCTAATGCTGATTATGCTTACAAAGCAAAAGCTTTATATGATTGTAAGTTATATCAACGAACTTGCATACAATATAATCTTGATATAATGATGACATCAGGTCATTAATACCAAATTTTGAAAACTTATTATATTTAAATTTGCCAATTTAAATGTAAGGGTTAAAGATTAACTTTGTTATATATATGTGTTCAATATATCGAGTTTATATTGTTTATATGATTATAATATTAATTGTTATGAGTTCTCATTATTTATTTGGAACTACCAACACATCTAATATGATATTATTCCTACAGATCAAGCAAGTCTCGAGGATCAAACTGAACTTTCATTTATTAAGGGTGAAATCCTTGATATTGTAGATAATAAAGGTAAATGGTGGCAAGCAAAGAAAGCAGATGGTACAGTCGGTATAGCACCAAGCAATTATGTGAGTGTTTTTGTTAAATATAAGACCTAAAGTATTATTGTTTAATTTTCCATACTAATTGTTTTTTTATTTAAAAACAGTTGCAAATTATCTAATTATAATGATAGGAATAATTTTTTTATTTTTGCCTGTGTTCATTAAATGTACAATCTATTATTTATGGTTGATTCACTCTGCATTGATAGTATTATGCATAATCGCATTAAACCTTCATTAATTCATAATTTATATATCAAACTGTCAACAATAATTTTTTTACAATTATCCTTTCAAAATTAATGTACTTTGACATCCTGTTTATAGAAAATTATTATTATTATGTATATTGTATACATTATAAATTATTTTTGTATTTTTTAATTGACACAAATTTTGTCGCTTTCATTTGTGTTAATTGGTTTTTAATTCCATCTTAGTAAACTAATTTTGTTTAAATCCATTCATTTGTTGTATTTTATTTTATTTTTTATTTATCGTTATTATTATTATATATTTATTATTATTAGTTTTAATTCTTTATGTGGCTGGTTTATTACAAGTTTTGGATCGATTCATAATATCCGGCAGTGGACCAAAATTTATTTTTTTTTTGAGAAAAAAAAACTCTTATTTAAGAAAAAATTTGACGAATTACTGTATGTTGTACGTAGTTTGAATTGCGAGATCACTTGCATTCGCATAATCACGTGGGTTATATACTTTTTTGGATGTTTAACGCAAAACAAGGATCATATGGGGCTAGGTGCTGAGAAAAAGATCGAACTTAACTAACCAAAATTAGTCTAAAAACATTTTCACTTAGGGAGCAAATACTGTTATCTTAATAAAACTTTGCAATAGAATTCTTTAAAGTTTTTGTTTTCTTATTGAATTTTTAAAATCCTCTCTAAACGCATGTTGTTAAAGTTCAGTTCCAAGAGCGTGCACGAGGTTTCACTGTATAAAAATAAATTTTCCACAAACCTTTTTTTTGTCAATTTTGTTACTTTTCTTAACACCAAATCTTTCAACAAATAATTAAAAATTAATATTTTCTTAACATTACTCTAATTAAGCTTGTGAGATTTTTAAATAGCCAAGCAGAAAGTTTTTATTGCTCACAAATATGAGCTAAAGTCCATATGTAAATTTATTCAAAATGAAAGAAAAAAGCTATCTGAAAAGAATTTCATAAAGCTTGATATTATTTTTAAGCTCAAAGGCAGAAGTTTGTCTGATTGGCTAATAAATTCAATTTAATTTTACATTATTTATACAGTTTGTGTACTTTTTTTAAAAAAAAACCCCCGAAAACTAATTATAGTAAAATAAAAAAAAGCTGTATAGAAGGTTCATTAGAGCTGTAAGACTTCATAGCCAAAAATAAGATCTAATTCTCGTCCGTTTAAAAAAGTTAGTATAGTAATAACTTCATAAAATCAACTTATTACTAAGCTAATTTTTTAAACGGACGAGAATTAGATCTTATTTTTGACTATGGAGTCCTACAGCTTTAATGAAACCTTCTATCTACTTTATTGTGATTGGTTTTCTATTTTTTAAAAAGTACTCAAACTGTATAAATAATGTAAAATTAAAATTATTAGCCATTCAGACGAATTTCTGCCTATGATTTTTAGACAATCTTTAGGAATATGCCATATAAGGATGCTCCGGTCCAGTTTCTATGAAAGGTGTAAAACAGGTGCGACCATCATTGTTACACGAATTGCAGATCACGCCCGTGAACCTCTGGTCATCAATCAGCCAATCAAAATTACGAATTTTGATTATTAAATTTTTACTTTAATAATTGTAGATTTAAGAAGTATGATGACTTAGTAAAGTAGATAAGTTGTCAACCTTCCAAGTGGTAGGTTGGAAGTTCAAAACCCATTGACAGTGAAAATTTAAAAAAGCATTTATGTTATATGATATTACAGAAGATAAGTAGTATTACAGCAATGGCATTCTATTAATCAGTTGGGATCAATACCTGTAATACAGTTATACCAGATAACTGATAAGTCATAGAGTATCTGTACAATGTTGGAATTATATAAAGGAATGTAAACTGGCATCAGATGATGCAAACTTAAGATAAGTTTTCATGATCATGTAAATCTGTAAATTAGAAAATCAGAGTTCATTTGAAAAGATCTAAGTAAAGAGGTAGCACAGATCTTTGACAGTACTATTGTAAAGGTTAAACCTAGAAAATAAATACTAATGTAAAAAGAATTAGATAAGCAAAAACCTTAAATAAGAGATACCATCAACTAGATTACTAAAAGTCTTGAATCAAAAAAAAAGGATCTTAAGAAGCAGATTCTAGAATATCAAAAACAGATTATAGTTCTATCAGATTATCTGAATTAGAAGTCTGAGCTTAGAACTAAAGGTATATTATAAGTATTAGGGATATTTTGTAAAGTTGGTACTAAGATCTAGATAAATTTTATAAAAACAAGTTCTGTTAACAAGAAATTAAATATAAGTAGTTAGTTAGCAGAAGAGTTCTCTGAAGTCTTACAATTAGGTGACATACTTTGAAATATATAATAATTTAACAGATGTAAAAACAGAGAGGTCATAATTAGGTTAGATACCACTTAGATATACAGAAACTTGTATACTATTTGTAAGTATAAGTATAAAGATCAAAGTATTTAAATAGATAATCTTTTAGTAGATTACAAATATAACAACTAGTGTAGAAACTGCTATATGGGTAGATTACTTAAAATAGACAACTAAAAGTTGTATATGTGGCTAGTTGTATACTTATCTTGTACAAATTATGTAATTATAATTAAAATACAATAAAAACAATAGTTACTGATAACTATAGTCTTAGCATAAGCAAAAAAAAAAAATAGTAATAATTGTAGATTTAAAATATTTTTAAGTTAATTTTAAAGAAATATAAATTATAATAGAATTCTGAAATATGTTTAAGTTATTAAAGAATTTCAATTCAACTTATAGTTAAATTAAATAACAATCCCTCACATCAATTTTTTCCAAAAAACCTAACCTATGAAAACTATATAGTTATTATATTTAAATATAACAAAACTCTATTTTGAGATAATTAGGAGACTATTTACTGCATATTAATTATAACTAAAAAGAGCTAAAAAAGACTTGAACTCTTGTAAGTAAAGTCTCTGGTGTAAAATATAAGTACTACTAAGTAAAAAAGTAATAGATAAGCTCTGAAGCTTTGTTAAGTGCTATAAAGCCTTAGGTCTAAATAGTTACTTGGTTTAATATAATATTCTATATAGTGTAACTCTTACAACTCCTTTTCAAGTTGGTTTTTCTTTCTGCCCTCACTACTGAATTGTTCTCTTGAAATTTTTACCAAAAAGTATAAAATCTGGCATACTTCCTTCAAAGGATTGACACTGTTTATCTTTTCAAATCAGTAATATTAAATCACTAACTCTTTCCGACGATCACTTGTACCAAATCCTTTCTAAACAAAACTGCTCTTTTCTCAAATTACTATTAAGTAAACCCATCTTGGCTGCCTAAGTAAAATTGTTCCTCATAAAATTTTACATATAGGTGGCCTACCTTTATATCCCTAAAAGTGTTTATTACTGGGATATAACTAAATTAAATAATTTTCTTTTATTGCTAAATA